CCCCAAAACCCCAAAACCCCAAAACCCCAAAACCCCGAAAATTATGCTAAAATTTGAAAAATATCAATTTAAAATAGGGCACAAATTAAACATGACTCTTACATCTTATCCTCCTTCTTTATCTCAACTTCCTCCTTCTGATCTGGTACCTTCACAGATGCTCTGGGCATTTGTGAGGTAATTGAACTGAACTCTCGTACTTTATTCTCAAACCTATCTTGACAAATCGAGCTGAACTCTAGCCTCTTCGATTCAGATTCTATAAACGAGCGTTATTCCTAATTCAATTATGAGCTATTAATCCATAACTCTTGAAAGAATATTCTGGAATTCGAAATCAATCTCTCTGCAATTGATAGCTCAGATTCATTAGTAGCTATACAGAAGCCTTGTTGTAAGTAACTTTGGTCTGTAACGCTCACAAATTTAGTAACCTCTCTAAAAATTTGAGCAAAATTCCCTAATTTATTCTTTAAATTTCTAGTGCTTAGCCTTACTGTTCGAACTCTGCTCGATATCAACCAGGTTTCTATATGATGAAGAGTTATTAAATAATTCCCACTTTTAGGGCTTTATGCATAAATTTTGGTGTTGAGAGTGTATTTAGTAAACCAGATCTGATTGCATGGCTTTGTACAAATGATCTTGCAGGTATTTTAAGCAACCATGGGCACCTTATTATAAGGAAGGTACGTGCATCTCAATAAGTGTTTATTAACAAATTTCTTTCAATGGCATAAAGTTTCTTTGTGTCACAATAGCCACATAAGAGGTGACAAGAAAATCCATATTTTTAAAGTATGAGCATTTAAGGCTAAACTTTTGAAAATCTTTATCCAAAACCCCCAGTGGAGAATGATCTTAAAATAAACATACCGGTTTGTTTCAAGTTTGATCTGACTATCAGTCCTGTTTTTATTTATACTCAATTCTCTTCTTCGCAGTAGCTGCTACTTTATGTTTCCTTAACAAGTGGCAAAGTATGATCACAGTAGACACACAGATTCCTATGCATTAAGCTAGGTATTTACAAAAAAGAGCCACTCCAAGGATACTAAAAGTGATTGTCAACTCAGTGTTCAAATGTCTTCGCTCCATTTTCAATAGATTAAATAACTTAAGGGGTTTTGGGGTTTTGGGGTTTTGGGGTTTTGGGG